TTAGTATAATTAACATGTATAAGGTTTAAATATGACCTAGGGTTGATAAGCATATTGATTAATTTATTGTTTATTCTAATTGTCTCTATTGAGACATTGCTCACTTGTTTGTTAGAATTGATTCGAATAGCCCTTACTATACTAATATTAGTGTCCAACAAAACCACATCAGCTTCTCTTTTTTTTTTTTGTTAGGGCCCTTAATATTTTCACACAAGCTTTTGGTAACCATTTAAAAAGCTAACCCAAGGTTACTATCATCTCAAGTTTAGCAATCTTCTTCAAAACATCAAGTTTCTGGATCAATTCAGTTAGAAGTATATACATTATTGTTTCTTTTATTTAGAATTCTCAGTTGATTGGGTTCTTGTTAATTTTGTTTCTTTTTTCAGGTAGATCAGACACTGATTCATCCTCAGGGAGCTTATGTTTTCTCAAATTATAATTCTTTACATCAAATATTGGCCCACCTTTAATCAATTTAATTTTAAGATACTCATTACCACCATCAGGTAAAGTTTCAGTTATCTCAAAATATCAGATGCTGGCTCTTTGTATGTCAATACTTTCTAGATTAGAATTCCTTGCTTCAACACTTTGATTGGTAGGTAGATTAGGCAGAGCCCTTGCTAGACAATTTTTTGATATATGGTCTTCTTGGTTATAATTATAACATCTACACAGATTGGTTTGATTAGACTAACTATTTGGTGATAGATAGATAAAATTTGTCTTTGTCACTAATTCACTTGTATGTCTCATGGTTGATTTTGGCTAGGCCAGTTTTGTTGGTTGGGATTGGATTGACTTTTATTGTTGGCTATGTTCTTAATAAGTTTGATAAGTTCATTAATAGTGTATTCTAACTTATCAATTCTTTTAGTGCCCTTTTCATCTTGACTGGCCTGACTAACTTGACAAATCTTTAATTCAGAAAAGGTACTAGCCAAATTATCAACGTTGGAATCTATCTGGTAAGTTGATTCTTCTCCTATAACGTTGGCCTTCTTCAAGTCGAATTCGTTACTTTTTTTATGTTTCTTAATTTTGATTGCCTGGTTTTTTGTTTCCTCATAGGTTTCAGGATAATATTGCTTTACTTTTTCTCTGTATTTGACCAGAAGGCCTCTGAGGTACCAACATTTTACTTCATGATTGCTAACTTCATTTTTTACTCTTTTAACACAAGCGTCGAATCAGTTGGTATAAGAGATGATACTTTTATCCTTATTTAGTTTGAGGTTCATCGGACGTTCAATT